TATACTGTAGCATTAAGATTTCCCTTTATTGAAAAGGTACACATAAGTACAGTATGTAAGATGCACAGAAGTGACTTTTGCAGAAGGAGACAGAACGAAGAGCAGCAGACTGATGAGGATGAAGATGTTGTGAGATGTTGAGCTGTCAGCTGCTGCCCCCTACTGGTTACTGGTGGAACTTACAAATCTGTCTAAAAACTGATGAAATCTCCTGTATGCTTGTGTTTTAGAGGCAGATTAAAACTGCACCTGTAATTTTTTATGTAAAAACAACAAACAACAACAAACAAATTGCTGTTTGAACTTCTCAGTTCTGAAGATGATTATATAAGATAACTGTCACATAACTGTGTCAGTAAACTGAATATCTTTAGGTTAAGGGTTTTTTTCAGAAGAGATTTAAATATCAAGGGACTCTTCTGGTCAAAATAAAATATATACATACATTAATAATAATAATAATAATAATAATAATAATAATAAATGTATAAGAAACATTTAAAAGAGTTCATTTTTGGCTGTGGGAACTTTCTTTACTATTTTCTGACATTACGTAGACTGAACGATTATTAGATTAACCAACGAAGACATTTAATCAGCCCTTCAGTCCGATATAACAGTTTAATACACATCATCATCCAGCTCAGTGCACACAGTCAACCACATGACAAACAGCTCATCATCAACAAGGAAACAAACAACAAATTCAAGTACAGGAGGAGATTAAAAAGTAATGCCACCGCAGCAGACACAGTCTACATTTTCTCATGTAGTTACATTTGGGAATTTTATTTTTCTTTTAAATTGCAGTGAGGAAAGTAAAGGCCATCTCAGAGCTCTTTGTGGGCCCTTATAGACATTTTAATTGGTCAACTTTTTATTGTCAATTCACTGACACTGCTGCCTGACATTAATGAAAAGTCACAGTTCCTTTATTCTCATTATTGCTTCTACTGATCTGTGCACAATTTCATTTCCTGTGAAATGAGATAAACCATCAATAAAATCTAAATGATCACATGATGGGTTCTCCCTCCATGTCTGGCAACAAATCCACTCACAATGCATCTGTTGTCTGAATACTGTGCTGTTTTAGCTTGGAGGAGACAGGAAATAAATCCCAGAGGAGGGACCATGAACAGAAGATGTGGTCCCTTTGAGGTTCTACTGGCAGGGCTGAATCGAGTTACATTAAGTTTTTTAAGGTTAAAAGGCTCACTTGGCACTGGACTAGCTTGGCTACATTTACCTATTAACATTGTCATCATCAGTTGAACCGATCATGTTATAAATAGATAACAGATAAAGCTAAATTATGTCTCAATCCAACCCACTGATGTTCTGACTGTCATAGGTGTATCTGGAAGTGGCTGTTAGGCAAATAATTATAACATTTGATTAGATTCTTTTAATTTGAATTAAATATTTTTTTGGATTTCTGACTGTTGGTCAACTGCTGTGGAGAGCCAAAGGCCTCATACTTAATTTCTTTGGAGGAATATGCACCGGTAAGCTACAATACTGGGTGAGTTCTGCATTATTATCTGTCTTTAAGGGGCCCTGTGACATAAATGAAATGCTGCATATTCCTAAATACATTAGTCTTATACCAAATTACCACAAACTGATTGGTCAATAGAGGCCCATGACTCAATTTTGCCCCAGGTGGTTATTATTTTGGCAATGTTGGACCTGGAATTTTAAGATTCAATCTTGGGCTCTAGGAAATTGTGAAGGGAATTATTTACAGAGTTTTGACATTTTATATATTAAATGATGTAAAGTTTTTAATAAGTGCAGCCTAACTAACTGTACAGCATCTATGATGACATGTGGCATCATATCAACAGGGTGTCTATCCTGTACCAGTGTCTCATTCAGTAAGGACCTGATTATGTTTGACACTTTAGAAAATAAAGACCTATGATGGACAGTAACTGACAAACACTAACATTGCTGAGTGCTGTCAGCTAAATGCAGCATAGCTGGAATCACAGAATTAAAAACATTGAGAAGCAACCGAAGTTGCTCTCTGATTCAGTAGTTTAATAAACAGCAGCAGATCAAAAGCCCAAATCAACACCTGTAACCAGTTTATTACTGAAGCTGAGTTACTGCCCACCAAGTAAATGTTCTATTCTGACGTAATTAACGTATTATTATTAGTTCTGACTGATAGTGTTACAGTGCATGTGAACAACATATTCAAACTGGAGGTATCGTGTCTAACCAGTTCCTCTGAGCAGCAGGTAGACAGCGGAGATGGTGATGGCGGTGGCGGTGTATGTAAACACAGCGTTATAAATAGTACTGGTCCTCAGTCTTGCTCCCAGGGTCCTCTGGGTCTCCTCCAGATGCCTCATCACTGCCTCAGACTCCCACTGGGCCTCTATCGCTGGTCTCTCTGGACTCTCTGGTTTTGCTAACTGCAGCTGAGCGGCCTGTGGTTCAGCCGGTGGTCTGGTCTCCAGCAGCTTCCTCACCGTCGACAATTCACCCTCAACTCTACCGACTCCCTGCTCCAGCTGTCCCAGCTGTGGCGTGAGGGACTTCAGAAAGGACTCGGTCTTTTGGCTGCTGGTGTGGAGGTCTTTTAAGGCTGACAGAGGCACAGTGGGTGTGTCTGAGGTCAGACCTTTCTTCTTCTGAAGGACGATGTCCCTCTGTGTGAAGGTGTCACTCAGAGCGACCCTGAGGTTGTCGATGAGCTTTCGGAGCTCGTCCTGCTGGGAGCGATGGTTTCCAGCCTGGACTATGAGGGCCTCCTGCAGGCTCTCTGGACCTTTCTGGGCTTCCAGCAGCAGAGTCTTGAGCTCCTACAGATGAGAGAGGTGAAGATGTATCAGCTGACACAAAGATCAATGCACACTGGTGTTCAAACAGGTGAAATATACAGCACAGGAAAGAGCCTGCTAGCAGATCTGTGAGGCTGTACTTGCTCACAATCACAATGTTAACATGCTGATGTTTAGCTGGAATAATGTTAGACATCTTTCCTATCTTAGAGTGTACAGCTGAGGCTTATGGGAATGCCATTAGTTCTAAATGAATTAATCCAAACTGCTATCATCCCCCCTCCTTACCTGCAGGCGGACGCGGTTGATGTACGTCGATCCCATGACTCCGATCAGGGCCCCGAGCACCGAGCCGATGACGGACCAGTTCTTGGTGCGCTCCGCTCTCGTCCTCTCCTTCTCGTGGCTCTCCCTGACGCTCGCCGAGAACAAGGCGAATTTCTCCCTCTCCGAACCCTCTGCGTTCTCGTACGCTGTCCGGAGACGGCGCTCCTCCTGCAGTCAGGAGAGAGCACAAAGGTGGTTCATTATGAATCAAATTCAGTTAACTGTGTTTCCTATAGTACAACTACCAATAATATCATTATACTCGTGTGATTACTTGGTGGTAGGAAGGGCCGGACTCAGCCTACGCCAACCTCCACGCATTCAGAACAGACCACACTTTCCTTCAAGAGTTAGACTGTTACAGCTCCATGATTAAGGCTACAGGAATAAATATTCATTCAATATATAGATGGCCAGGCTTGATGGTAGGCTTGTTCTGACCTCAAAACACCTTTCAAACACTGTAAAACCTAAAACAAGGATAGTTCCACCTGTTTTTATTCACATTTATATTCATTCTAACCTGCAGCAGTTTGTGCTCCAGCGTGGCCAGCTCCAGGTAGTGAGCCTCCTCCCTGGAGACTCTGTCCAGCCGGTCTCTGACCTCCTTCAACCTGACCTGCAGGGCCTCCAGGCTAACATGAGCCTCTCGTACCATCCCTCTGGCCACCATGAACGCTGCCTCCGCCTGGAAGAAACGCACATGGAGTCGGACTATTGACGTGCACACACACACACAACATCCTGGATTTCCAATGTTTGCTGTTTCTTACTGTCTGCTGACCTCAGTGACATTGGTCTGGGCCACGCGGACCTCGTTGAGCCCGACAAACTCCTCATACCTCTCCCACCAGTAGTTGACGGTGGCGGAGGCTGTCTGAGCTGACCTCTGACCCCACTGCTGCCCCAATTCACCTGCACGCTGGAGGAGGGAGAAAAGGGGGGGAAAAGAGGACAGTGGTTTAATTTGGTTTTGTGTTCTTTTGTTATATCAAATGACAATAGTGTTTTTATGACACGTCATGCTGGTAGTGATGTGTGTGGTCTGTAAAGTTGTTATAAACAGTCAGAGGACGGATTTATTGTACCTGTAAGGCAGCCAGGGCACGCTCCTTCACCACCTCGGCTCCACGCTTCCCATCAGGAGGGGCGGGGTTAGTGGGTGGAGGAGGCGGGCCAGGCTGATGGTGAGCACTGTAGGTTCGGACCAGAGCGAGTCTGCCAGGAAGACGTCCAGACACAGAGAGCCGGGACAGACAGCACGAGCCACGAGCCCCGAGACAGATCTGAGCTCCTCTGTACCTGACGCAGTAAAGATACTGTTAACCATCAGCTTCAGTGCTGTATTTTTATGTTCAGATCTCCCCTGTTGGACTGAAGTGAGCAGTCATACCTCATTGAGAAGGGCAGCAGTCAGAAGTGCAGCTTGAAAACTGTCAGAGCTTCACTTTCACTGCAGCTACAGCACTAACACCTGTAACAACAACAATAAAAAAAATGATTAGGTGATTGATAAACTATCAGCTAGGCATGTTGCAGAGATTCAAGGTTCAATCTTATTTTTGCAATTGACCTTAGAGGTGTGCTGTTGTGTCAAAAGCGTTTGTTTACTGATATTTAGACTCCATCTACTGTCATTCAATGATACCTTTAATAAAGTTCAAGATAAGTTTCTGCATTTCACCTAAATAACTGTCAACACTGACTCTGAATATCGGAGAATATCCACCTGGTGATTTACTACTCCCAAAAGAAATAAATGTGCTGCTACATATTTAGAATTCAATTAAAAGCAATGGATGTTAATAAAACTCCTGTGAACATTTACTGAAAAATAACTCACTACACAAATGAATGAAAACAAATCACAAAGAAACAATATATTTTTAATGTTGAATGTGACATTGAATTGTGTAGTAGAGCTTTTCTTTATATGATAATCCAGAGATGCCATTAAGAAGACAATTAACAATAAGGCCAATTTAACCATTAAGATAAGATGTTCCAATGTGGGAGAAATACTTTACTGTTTATTTAATATATATACAGTTTCATAACAGTAAAAAACAAACTGTAGACATTAAATAACACGATTGAACAACTTTCTAAACACATTTATCTGCTAGTAAATGTACAACCTATGAGCTGTATGTTACAACATGATGGCTGATTTCCTAATACACACCATGAACTACCTTCATAATGAGCAAACATAAAACACTTATATAACTCACTGATACATTAAATGAATAACCAAACAGACTGGAGGAAGATAAAAGTATAAATTCATGAATTATTCCTCCAAGGTTAGCTGACTGTTCCCTCTGATTCATTCACAAATAACAGCCACCGGTTAGTTACACTGACTTGTTTTAGTGGTGTAAAAAGGTCCACTGTTACAACGACGTGCGGACATAAATATACCTGTTTTCTTCCCTGTTGTCGAAGCAAACATCTCATTTTCTTCACGTTGACTAAAGTTAGCACCTGCTGTCAGCCGGGGTGGGTTTCCGTTCAGGCACATGACGGTCGCACTGTTTCCGGCTCAGAGTTCACCGGGGTCCTAACAGCGCGGATTAGAGAGCAGAATCAGAAACACATTTCTTTCTTTCCTCCGCTGAATCCGCTTTTAAACATGTCTGGCAGAGAAGGTGAGGCGTCGTTTTGTGATGTTTAGTTGATGATTTCGTTCGTTATGAAATATCGCTTCTGGGCAACGTCAGAAAACGCGTTTCACTGCGTGGTTTAGTTAGCTACCAGCTGCTAAAGAGAGCGCGATAACGTCCTTCTGCGAGCACCAGACTTCATTCAAAATCTGCCACATTTAAGTGTTTTTATTGTTTTGGAGTAAATGTAGATGAGAAAGACGACGTATATACACCCGGGATGAGTCACCGTGATTGTCCGGACTGTTCGGCTCCATAAAATGTCTTCCCAAGCAACATTTTACATTATAATTTAAACGAAATCTGCAAATAATTTAATACGTATATATTTCATTTTCTGTCTTTAGGAGGCAAAAAGAAACCACTGAAGGCGCCGAAGAAACAGTCCAAGGAAATGGACGACGTGAGTTTGTCTCTCCTCTCATTATTAGTTCATATGACGGTAATTTTATCTCACATGAAACTGCAAAATACGGTGTTATTATTTGCATATACTCTTTATTCAGTAAGCAGATTACACATGCATTCCTTTTCATTCATTTTAAACACTGTACAGCTCTTTTTGCTTAAATAGAATTATATATTTTATTGCACATTTCTGTTAAATAGGTTTTACTCTTACTTTGTATACATTGTATACAGACATTGTTTGTTGTCTGAAACTCTCCATCAGTATTTCCCAGAACCCTGTGGACCCACGTCTTATATCTTGTTTGACTAAAGTGACTCATTACTGGGTGTCTGCAGGATGAGTTGGCTTTTAAGCAGAAACAGAAGGAGGACCAGAAGGCCATGGAGGCGTTGAAGGCCAAAGCTTCGGGAAAAGGACCTCTAAGTAAGACCAGTGTTGTTGTTGTGACCCTTAAAGTTTCAGATTGTTTTCAAGGCAAACGTTCATACAATACTCACATGCCATACGTACATGTATGAGAGGTTGAGGTGAGTTTAGGCTTATGATTGATACAGGGGGTTAACAGGAGTACTGCTGTAGATACCTGTGGTGTAGATTTAGATTTATATATACACACTAGACAGGTGTATGAATTACGTTTCCCACAGTAACTGTGTCACTTCATCCCATAGATGGGCTACACTCGACACAACTGGAGTTACATCCACGTAGCGTCTGTTTTTCTTCGTCTCATTACTGAATAGGAGTCTCCTTAATGTTTCTGTTGTTGCATTCACTGTGATAGAGAGCAGCAATTAGTTTGAATTGGACATAATAAGTGCTTATTGTTGTCCTGGTAGTTGTGTTGTATTGTTTCTCCAAGCAGGAAAACGTACACACGAGTGCAAATTATATATATATATATATATATATATCTCTTATATAATTATATATATAATTATATAACTTTATAACATGCAGATGAACCTATGTGAACACATCTGTGAACACTGGCATCCACCCATTAACAGAATTGTGTTCATTAGGGAGCATATTCAGCCCTTTTACAGCGACCGGTAACTTGTACATATGGTCATGTGAGTATTGTATTAAGACAGAAAAATCCAAACGTATCCATAAGGTTGTAAATGAATGTGTTCGTGTCAGTTTGTATAAAAACAACTTCTTCTTTCATTTTATTATTTATTTATTCATGCCATTTTGATCACTAGGAATGGGATTAAATGAATGTTTCCTGTCTCTTTTTCCCCCTCCAGCTAGCGGTGGCATCAAGAAATCAGGCAAGAAGTAAAACCCTCAATCTGGCCACGATGTTTGTTTGCTCCCCGACCTCGCGTCCTGCGTCTGCGATGTGTGTACGCTCACTGAGAAGACTCCAGTTTGTTTTTTGCTCCGTTTAACACGAACCCCATCCAACTAAAAACCAGCCCTGGTGTTGACCTCCGCCAGTGAAAATGTACAAGAGATGAATTGAATAATTTAGAGGATTTCAAGGACAGGGATATCTGTTGCCAGTCAGGCCAGGTACACACATCATAACTCCTAAAGTAAAGTAATTAGAGGTTTCACACTGTTGTGGAGGGACAGGTCACGCAGTCATACACACTGACCACAATCTACAGATCAAATACAGAACTGAAGGTCAGCAGCTTTAGAAATGGAAAACGTGAAACAATCCTGATTTGTACTGTGTTTAGTTTTGTGTGAAACTTTAACTATCAGAAACACAACTCACCCAAATTCTTTTTTTTTCCCCTTCAGTTTTTTGTTGTATTGTAAAGAGGGAGATACTAATAAAGTTTTTGTAAATACTGCTTGTTATGGGTTGTTTTTTTTTCGTGGTGAGTTGGAAAAGAGTCGGTCAAGAAACTGAGATGAAGTTTAAGTTTTAAACCAATAACTTGCTTTGGTACATTATGTTTAAATAAAAGCTTCAGTTACAAGCTGTATTAATTAAGTTGTATTAATAAGACACATGAGACTTGATTGATGTGTATTTAAAATGTTTTGCCTTTAAAGGTAAAGTTTACATGCATTTTATATTCTTGAAGCCTAACATATGTTGCAAATATTATATATATATATATGAAGACCTTCGTTATGTCCGTACTGCTTATATTCTATCACACAGTAAAATAATGTGTATCACCATAACTCCACAGGGTATCAATCTACAAATTGACGGTGTCCGCTGGTAGGGAAAAAAATAGTGTGCATGTTAGTT